CACAAGATCCCAGCTCCAGAGTGGCTTCTGCATGGAATAATTCCCTTCCCATCTCTCTGCTCCCAGATGGAATTGCACTGATCAGCCACTGTCTCTGTCCTGAGGCCACCTGCTCCTTGTACCTGCCTGGCCCCTCCTGCTCTCCCACACACCTGAAGATCACCTGGAGCACAGGAGGAATATCTGGATGGGAGAAGCCCTTCCCACAGATTTGCAGACACTGAGGAAGGCTAAAGCATTTTTGGAAATCCAGATCCTTGTGTGGAACTAACTCCAGTACCTTTAATTCCTCTGGTTTTGCCCTCCCACCAACAGATTTGGGGTTTAAAAATATAAATTGATAACATAAATTCTGCTTGCTGTGCCCACTGTCCCAGGTGTGTAAGGCAGGCAACACCTGAATCAACACAGATCCTTTCACACTCTTTCATTTCCATCAAAATACAAGGCAAAATATATAAGGAGAGGTGTCATTTCAGTGTCAGGGTTATCCTTTTCCAGGGGAAATGTTTGCCACTGCAGCACAGATTAGTTTTTTCCCAGGAGTAACAATGAATCCATCACACCTGTTGATTGCAAACACCCCACATTTCCACACCCACAGTGTCCCATCCCTGGGGAACAAGCTGGAAATAGGGGCTTCCCAGGAAGAAGTCCAAGGCACTTGCATTCTAGCAGCCATTTTTTGTTTTATTATTTAAAGTTAAGAGCGCTCATCAGCTCACAAAGGAAACAAATCCCATTCCTGCAGTTTAGGTCAGGTTTCAGCCAAAAAGGAAAAAAAAAAAAAACAACAAAAAAATAGAAGGCAGCTAAACTAACTCTGCACTTTACAGCTCAATTCAAGTTAAACCTCCTTGCTTTATAAATAAATGTTATAGTTAACACTGCAAAAATGTAACGGCAGCTCTACAATATCTTGAAGGGGCAGAGAGCGGTGGTTATTGAGGCTGATAAATACAAGTAGAGAAGCTTCAGTAGCACATAGAGCACAGGTGGTGCCAGGGGTCTGCTCTCCCAAAAGTGGGACCTTTCCCAAAGCTCCAAGGCAGCTGCTTCCCCCCTCCCCAGCTGTGCTTCCCACCCTGCTCAGGGCCAAGAAATGAGCCACAGGCTGCCCAAGCCCTGTCACCCCCCCTGCACAAGGACTGGAAACTGTTTTCCACCACAGAGGGTTCTGCTCACAGAGGCAAAAACCTGCCCTAAGCCTTAAAAACCAAGGTGTGTGCAGATCCTAATTCAAGGAAGGAGCTTGTCCAAACAGCAGCCAGGTGAGATTTCAAATTCCACCTTTGAAGTAGCACCATCCTCAGAAAAGTTGAGAAAACAAAACAAAACAAAACAAAAAAGAATCAAAAGCCCAAACCAGCTGCTAAGAACCCACTGCACCGAGGTTTAATTCATGGGATAATTAACAGAGGCCAAGGAGATGACACTAAAACCTCCAAAGGACAAGGAGGTACCTTAAACTTTCATCTGTTTCTTCTTCCTCCAGCCCACCCTGGTGCAAACACGGCACAAACACTCACTTGCTTAAATAACCACCCCAAGCATCCCCACACTACAGGTACCTCCTGCCCTACAGGGCTTCCTACAGCCTCACAAATGGTTCAGACTGTGCTGTTTTGGCTCCAAAACCTGGCCACATCCACCCTCACAGCTCAGTCCCTGCTGATTTCTGGAGCTAAAGCACTTCCACACTGGGAATGGAGCACACAGGTGTGGAATGGGCGAGCCAAGGGCCTGAACATCACTTGTTTTAAAACTTGGTTTTAAAGTCAGTTTTTCCTCCCCATTCATAAACCCCGACATCTACGGATGAAACTGTGTAACCAGAACTGACCTTCCTCTATCTTACAGGACTGGAGAAGTCTTGCAGCATAGATAGGGCCTGGCTCTAGGAGAGAAAAAACATCCCAGCTTTATGCACAATCATGGACATCTCAGGCCTTAAACACCATTTGGCCAACCAAGAGAGAGAAAAAAACCCCCATCTTCAGCACACCCAGCCCTGTGCCACGCAAGGAACTCCCTCAGCAGAGCACGAGCCCCTCAGCTGCTGGACTTGTGCTGTCCCAAATCTGACAAGAGGGAGGGGAAGGAATTAGTTGGAAGGTATTTTATTCCTCACTCGCTTTCTGTGTGTTGGACGTGTGGGCTGGGAAGGGCCAGAGCACGTGGGGGGTGTGTAGCTGCTCCAAAGCTGAACACTGAGTTAATCCAGCACTAACGGGAGAGGCAGCAAGTCCCAGGGAATCTCCATTTTCCTTCCTTCTCAGGACAAGACGGGACAGGGCAGGGGCTGTGGCCTTCTGTGGACACAGCGCACTGGAGAGAGCTGGTACCTGAAGGTGACAACAGCGAGGGACAGTCGGGAGCTCTCGAGCTTCCTCCTCCCTGCCCTGACTCGCCAGCTTTGTGGTGACAGATGGGGACAAAGCTCAGCACGGCGACGGCCCCCAGCCCCCAGCTGAGGACAGCCCGAGACCTCCAGCTGCACAACCTCCATGGGGTGGGACAGGCGAGGGAAAGGCCGGGGGACATCAACTCTCGTGCCCTAGTGCAGCTCAATGAAGGCTTCCAGCTCCTCGGGGATGAACCCCTTGTAGGGAATCTTGTGCTTGTCCAGGGCTCGAGCAGCAAGGCACTGGAGGGTGATGTAGTTGAAGGGCTGCATCGTGCTCTTGGTGAGCAGCTTCTCGTCCAGCAGCTCGTAGGCCGTCTGCTTGAAGGCGTTGGTGGCATCCATGTGTGCCCCGGCCTCCATCAGGGCCCTCATGATGAGCGGGCAGTTGTTGCGGGCGGCGACGTGCAGGGGGGTGTTGTTGTCGTAGTCGCGGCTGTCCGGGTCGGCCCCGCACTCCAGGAGCAGGTTCACCACGTGCAGCGACGGGAATTTGCCCACGGGATAACGCCCCACCGTCGTGGTGTCCTTGTCCACGGCCATGTGCAGGAGGGTGAAGCCGTTCTTGGCCCGGGGGCTGCACTTGAGCAGGCGGTAGATGGTCTGGCGCTTCTGGTGCTCCTGCTCCGGGGTGCACTCCACCTTCTCCAGCAGGAACACCAGGTGCAGGATGATGGCCAACGTCTTGGTGAACTGCACCGAGTCGGCCACGGGGTCCTTGCCGTGCACCAGGGCCCTCTCCACCTCCCGCACCCCTTTGCTCAGCACCCCGATGAGGTCGGAGAAGCCCAGGTGGGTGGCTAAAGTGCCTTTGGAGCGGTCCTGGAGCACGTAGGAGTAAAGCTCGGCAAAGGAAAGGAAGCTGCTGGCGGTCATGGGGCTGAGGGGCTCCAGGTTGCCTTGCTGCATGTCCAGGGCGTACTTCCACAGGTTGATGCAGCGCTCGAAGTTGCCGGAGTCGGCGTAGACGGCGCCGCGGTAGCGGATGTAGTAGGAAGTGTCGGGGTGGGAAGGGCCCAGGATGCGCTCCCGGATCAGCAGCGCCTGCATCCGCATCTCGTCGGGATCCGTGATCAGGGCCTCCAGTTCCTCCAGAGAATTCACCTCCCGGGAATAGTCATAGGCCAGCACCAGCTGCCGGGGCTCGGGTTTGGGCAGGTACTTCCCGCCCTCGCAGCGCAGCTCCATCGCCCTCCGCCAGTACTTGTGGGCTCCCAGGAGGTCACGTTTCTTATCCACAAACGTGGCACCCAGCAGCTCCAGCGCTTCCACAGCCGCCTCTCGAGTGCAGAACACGGTCGGGACCTCGTCCTGGCTGGAGGCCGAGGCACCACATCCCTCACCCCCCTCTTCCTGGCAGCCCTGAGTCTCCTTGCCGGCGCCGCAGCCCCTCTGACGGCTCCCGCCCGAGGCGCAGGTCCCGCTCTGGCTCCCCGCAGCCTCCTCCTGCTGCAGCCCCCCCTGGATGAGGTACTCCACGATGTTGGTGTGGCCGGTGACGCTGGCGGCGAGCAGGGGGGTCATTCCATAGCCGTCCTTCTCCATGCGGGCCTTGGAGCGGAGCAGGAGCTGCAGGATCTCCAGGCTGCCGGACTCGGCGCAGTCGTGCAGGGCCGTGTTCCCCTTCACGCTGCGCCGGTTCACGTCGGCCCCTTTCTCCAGCAAGTAGCGGGCGATCTCCCGGTGCCCTTTGTAGCACGAAATCATCAGGCACGTGTGCCCGTGCCGGTTGGCCACCTCCAGGTCGGCCCCGCGCTCGCCCACCAGGTACCGCACGATCTCCAGGTGCCCATCGAAGCAGGCGGCCCGCAGCGGGGTGGAGTTGGTCAGCGTGGTCTGGTTCACCGAGGCGCCGTGGTCCAGGAGGCTCCGCACCACCCCCAGGTGCCCGGCGGCCGAGGCCGCCCACAGCGGCGGGGCCCCCTCGATGGTCTCGCCGTCGAAGCTGACGGAGCCGCCCTCCTCCACGCGGGCCCCGCAGTGATCCAGCAGGTACTCCACCACCTCCAGGTGCCCGTGCCGCGCCGCGATCAGCAGCGGGGTGCTGCCCGCCCCGGGGCCGCCGCCGCCGCCGGGCCCCGCCGTCAGCGCCTCCAGCTCCTCACGGCTGCGGCTGCCCAGGAGCTTCTGCAGCAGCTTCAGCTTCCCGTCGCGGGCCGCGTTGTACACGGCCGTGCGCAGGTCCATGGCGCCGGGAGCCGCGTCCTGGCCATGGACCGGCGGCTCCGGCGCGGCCCCAGCGCGGCGCGGGGCGGGCGGGGGGCGACGAGACCCCCCTGCCCTCAGCGCGGCGGGACCTTCACCGCCCGGACCCGACCGCCATCTCAGGCTGCGCCAGGAAACAAAATGGCGCCGCGCGGGGCGGGGCGCGCCGCGCGGAGGATGACGGGAAATGTAGTCCCGCGAGAGGCGCGCCCCGCACGGTCCCGCGCCGCGCGCACTCGGTTTCCCAGCAGGCAGCACGGGAGCGGGCAGTGGGCAGGACGCACAACCCGCCTCGCGCGGGGCATGCTGGGAATTGTAGTTTCACTGCCCCATCAGCCAGCGCCGCCAAGCGGGTCGCGCCGGAGTCCGGACTACATTTCCCAGGGTGCCCCGCGCGGGCCGATCCGTGAGGAGCGGGTGCCGTACAAATGTCTTTATAATTCACAGCGTGCGTACATTTAATGCCGGTTTTATTTACATTAAATTCCTTGATGTAGTTGAACTTCAAGACACAGCGGCTTACACGGCTTTAATCTAACGTGGTTTAATTGCAGCGAACCATTTGTGTTCTGCGGGATCAGAATATCCTGAGCTGGAACGGGAACGGACCCTCAGGGATCATCAGCGACCCCGTTGCTGCGACAGGACTGATGGAGCGTTTTAAGGTGCAGCTTTCTGTTTTGGAGGTGGCAAAGCCTCGTCTCCAACAGCGAACACAGATTTGTTCCCTCAAATCCCCTCCGCAGGACGTTATGTCCAGTTCCCTCCATCCCTGAGTGACAATACCTGCCTGGAGTGAGGGAAAACACTCGAGCAATAAATAGCCCAGCTTAGATGAGCAAAGCTTTACTCACCAGAGCCTATTTTTAGGGCATAAGTTGAGTTTAAGTGTCTCTAATCTTTATACAGGGAATTGGCGTGGGGTTTCTCCCGCTGTATTTTATTTATAGCTGTTTTTCTCCTTTCCGGGAAAATAAGATTAGTCTCATTATTTCCATTATTATTATTCTGTCTGTCATGATTATTATTCAGTCCATCCACCCATTTTAGGTCTTGTCTGGAATTACTGTGGATTATCCCGCTAATGCCTGTTGCCTTCACACTGAATATCACTTTTGTTGCTAAGAAACTGCTTCTGCATAACAGGCACTGCGAGCCCAGTTTTCACTTCAGCAGCTGCTAAAAAGTCACTGGGGAGCAGCAGGTGCTCCCGGGAGCCAGGCCCGGAGTGTCCGTGGCAGAATTCCCACAGGAGGTCCGAGTGTGCTCAGGGATTCTTCCCTGGGAGGGTGGGGAGGCCCTGGCACAGGTTGCCCAGAGAAGCTGTGGCTGCCCCATCCCTGGAAGTGTCCAAGGCCTGGTTGGAGCAACCTGGGCTAGTGGAAGGTGTCCCTGCCCTTGGCACAGGGTGGGACTGGATGAGCTTTAAGGTCCTTTCCAAACCAAACCATTCCATGGTTCTGTGGCTCAGGGACTTTGTGTTTGAGAAGAAAAGGAGCCAAAGGTCTCTTGGGCAGCTCCAGTGTGTCCGTGCTGTGCAAGGGCAGCTTCCTGCACATCGGGACAGGAGGAATGGAAAAGCCCTCCAGGATCGAGTCCAACCATTCCCCAGCACTGCCAAGGCCACCACTAACCCGTGTCCCCAAGTGCCACATCCACATGGCTTTCAAATCCCTCCAGAAATGGGGACTCCACCACTGCCCTGGGCAGCCCCTTCCAGAGCTTAACAACCCTTTCAGTGAAGAAATTTTCCCTAATATCCAACCTAAACCTCCCCTGGCACAACTTGAGGCCGTTTCCTCTCATCCTCTCCCTTATTCCCTGGGAGCAGAGCCTGACCCCTCCTGACTCCCTCCTGTCAGGGAGTTGTAGAGAGGGAGAAGGTCCCCCCTGAGCCTCCTTTTCTCCAGGAGCTCCCTCAGCCACTCCTCTGTGTGCTGGAATACCTGGGATCGTTCCCTGTCCCTCTGGGGTCCGAATCCACAACTCTGGGCACAAATTCATTGTGTTTTCACACCTAAACAGTGGTTTGGGCACACTGAGTTCATTTTACACCGCCCTGAGAACCTTTGGTGTGTGTCTGTGTGCAGCAGCTCCCTGGGTGTGAATATCCAAGCTGTCCCTCTGTCCCCACTGGGAACATCCATGTGCAAACCCCCCCAGCTTTGAGGCTGTTTGTGCTGCAGGTCAAGGCACAGACACGGTGACATTTCCTCTCCCTGCTGGCTCCTCGTGTTGCCATGGTGACCAGATGCACTCGCTCTTTTATCTGAAGTATCTATTAACCAAAGCTTCCTATTAATTTCCCCTCCACAGAATCCATTAGGGATTCACCTGAACACCACGAAGGCTTTTTAGGTCCCAAATCCACCTCAGAACCTGCCCCTCGTTCTGGGGTGGGCTCAGAGTGGCTTAAAGTGCAGCTGATGGAAATGTTTTTTTCCATCAATAAATTGCTTAGTAATGAGGGAGTAAAGAGCATGAGGAGAAGGGTCACGACAGCCTCTCCCTGAGGATCTGTGAATATGGAATGTACTGGAGCCTCAGGACCTTGGTCCCAGCCCTGGTGTACCTGGATAATTCTGTTTGGAGAGTCTAAGAGAGCTGGAGGTGGGGGTGGAGGGGCTGTACCTGCATCACCCTCAAAGGTCTGGGGCAGGATTTTGACTGTGGCAGAAACCAGAGTCACTTTGTCACCTTGGATCTCCTGCATCGTTTGGCTTCTCTTGGTGAGGTCACCACCAAAAGTGTCTCAAACCAGGCACCAGGGGGATGGAGGCATCACACAGGGTCAGAACCATGGAATCACAGAATGGATTGGGTTGGAAAGGGCCTTAAAGCCCACCCAGTTCCACCCCCTGCCATGGGCAGGGAGACCTTCCACTAGCCCAGGGTGCTCCAACCTGGCCTTGGACACTTCCAGGGATGGGGCAACCACAGCTTCTCTGGGCAACCTGTGCCAGGGCCTCCCCACCCTCCCAGCCAAGAATTCCTTCCCAGTATCCCACCTAAATTTCCCCTCTTTCAGTTTGAAGCCATTCCCTGTGTCCTGTCCCTCCAGCCCTTGTCCCAGGTCCCTCTCCCGCTCTCCTGGAGCCCCTTTAGGCCCTGGAAGGGGCTCTCAGGTCTCCCTGGAGCCTTCCCTTCTCCAGGTGAACCCCCCCAGCTCTCCCAGCCTGTGTCCCAAAGCTGGAGGGTGTCTGCTGAACCAGATCAGCAGCAGTGGTGCAGCTCCCACTTCCACTGGCACAACAACTGGGAATAAAGAATCAGTAACACCCATCTGAGAGTGTCTCAAAGCCACCACATCCCTCCTGTACAACCCATGGCCCCCACAAGGGCCCCAGGGACCCCGAAGGGTTTGTGGGGTGACACACACAGAGCCCCAATCGAGAGTTCTGGGAATAGAGAGGGGAGTTAAATACCCAGGGGAGGAAGAGCAGGTAAAAAATGAGCCGTTTTGACAGGGCTGCCAGACTGTGTGGCAGGAGGGTTAATTTTTTTTGAAGCTGCCATTTCATATTCCCTTTCAGACAAGCTGAATTACACGGTGCTGGCTTCTCCAGGAGTAGCATAATTTTCCTCATGGAAATAATGACAGGGTACTTAAAAAGCAAGTGAATGGATGGCTGAAGTACTGGGCAGAGACTTCTGAAATCCAGGCTGAGCCCTCACCTTTGCTAGAGGCTCCTTTGGTGACCTTGGGCCAGTCACTTAATCTTCCTGTGTCTCAATTCCCTGCCAATAACATGGCAATAATAACTGTTCTTGCTCTGTCTGGCTTATTTAGGCTGCAAACTCAGAATTTACAGCTTGTGTTTTCTCTTCTTCGAGGGCAACTGAAGCCAAAGAGCTTCAATCCGTGCTGAGGAGTCTGGGACACCACAAAATGCAACATGGATAACAATAAAGGGCTGGGATGTGTGACTGGGAACATTCTTACATGAGAATTCCTAATCCATTGTTTCCCCATCGGTTCCCTCAAAATGTGGGGGAGTTTAGAACTGTGCTAAGAGTTCCAAAAAGCATTGAAATAATTTAGGAACAGAGGCCAGGCCGATTTATTGAATCCCTGAGTTACTCCTGAAAGGGTGAGTGGGTAATTTAGACACCTGCAGAATTTCCTCCGAGGTCTTTGTGCTCAGTCTGTGGCTGCAGCAGCTCCTTGGGTTTTTCTCAATTTAATCTGAGGTTTGCAGGCAGCTGTGTACCCAGGTTTTATCCATCTCTTCAGCTTTTAGGGGGTTTGTGTGATTTCCAGAAGCTGAGGGAAGATGGTTCCTTGCTACGAGAGCCAATGAAGATGAGATTTTCTCTATAGTTGAGCAATTTGCTGTACAAAGGCAACAATTCTAAAAATAGGGAGAAATGGCACCATGACATTAAGAGGAACGATGACCCAATCCCCAACTTGCTGCAGGGGCTTTTGTCCTATAACTGCCTTCCCCATTAGGGCTGTGATGACATTATTTGCTGTGGTTATGTGGGGCACGAGGCCACGGGTACCTGGAAGGGAGGATTTTGATCAGACTGCAGAGGATGAACACGCCAGAGAGGCTTGTTGGGGAACACTAAATCAGGGGAGTTTCATTTACATCAGACACCAGCCCAGCCATTCCAGCATTAATGGCTGCACTGCTGCCCTTGGAATTTTGTGTGGATTTAATCTGTCAGGGGGGGAGTAAAAGGGAGGGGGAGAGTGAGTCCTTCTGGCTTATGAAATGTGGATCTTTTCTTTCAGGCACCATCAAAGGACAGGGATTTGTACTGGTTTAAAATTCTTTTGGCAACAGATTTGTGGCTGCCCCATCCCTGGAAGTGTCCAAGGCCAGGCTGGAGCAGCCTGGGCTGGTGGAAGGTGTCCCTGCCCATGGCAGGGGGTGGCACTGGATCACCTTTAAGGTCTCTCCCAGCCCAAATCATTCTGGGATTCTGGGATTCCTAAATCACATATTCCATTGTACCAGTGATGTGGGCAGTGCTGGGCATATCCTGGGTTGGTTAAAAAAAGAAAAAGAAAGTGCTCAACAGCACCAACAACCCAAATTATTAAAGACATTTCAGTACTTTCACCACTGGCCTCGGCAGGATTCAGGAGTTTCATTTTCACACCTGAATACCTTTGAGAATAGAGGCTCTGAGTGGTGTTGAAAATCTGTTCTTTTTATATTTTGAAGCCCTGCTGGAAGCAAAGGGCTCCACTCTCCAAACAACCCCTGCCAGGCATCGAGGTCCCAGCAGTGCCCGGCAGGGCCCTGACCCTGCACTGGTGTGTTGGGGGGGCTTTCAGGGAGACACTTCCCTTCCTGACAGCTGATTTCCAGTGAAACTGTGTTGAAGGGAGGCAGGGGAGTGCCAGGTTTGGGGGGCTGCAGGATGAGCCCCAGGATGAGCTTGGTTCTTCTCAGATGGATCTCCCTTTGCTTCTCTCAGATCCCAGACTTGCTTGACTTTAAGGGGATGGGATGAGGAGCAGAACAAGGCACATCATGACCTCCAAAGCACTTCCAGGCACAGCCAGCTCTCAGGTCCAGGGCTCCTGGGGTCTCTGGGCCGTGGCAGCCTGGGCTGTATGGCAGGCTATGATTTGTTGTCACCTTTATAAACAGAACAACAAAATCACTAGTCTTCCACACAGAGCCAGGCCAGGAGAGCAGCGCTCCCTCCTCGGGGATGTCCTCCCGCACGTCTTCTGCTTTCCTTCCTCAGTTTTATCAGCCTTTAATTCTTGTTCTTGCCTCTCCTTTCAGGGATGGATGCTGCTCTTTGCAGAGTTCCTCATGAGACCGTGTCAGTCCTCCCTGCAATCATCTCTCCAATTTGTGGCTGTTCCCGTGAGTTTCTGCTCCATTTTCTCACTCCCAGAGGCTCTACGGGGACATCAGGGCTCAGCAGGGGCTCCTCTTTCCTTACCCTGTGATAAAACTTCTCCAGGAGTGCTCTGTCAACCTGTCTGTCTCCTGGTTATATTTCAGGTGACTAAAATAAGCAAATGCAATGTATACAGGGGAACGCTGGAGAAAAGGACTCAGCAAAGGAAAAGATAATGATAGTGCTGAGTTTCCTGGAATCCCACTGAGAGGCTGATTTAAGCAAGAAAAACAAACCCCTTTTGCTGTTTCCTTTCCCTGGATTTGTTGATGAGCAATCTTTAGTTCACCCCAGGTCCAGCTTTGCTTCCACTCCCCAGCTTTTCTCTGTTAATACCTCACATATGGCCCGGATAAGGTGTGAAAGGACAATGCTGGCTCACATCCATGGAAAGGATCGGACTTTATTCCCTGTCTGAGTGAGGCTTACTTACCTCAGCCACTGAACCCAGGCAGGGAACAGCATCCTTCCCATCTTCACCAAGCCTGTCAGATGTACTTCTGTGAGCAGGTGGCACGAAAAAAAAAGGGAAAGAAACAAAAACTATCCCTCAGGAGCTGCTGCTCCTTTCATGGGAGGAGAAAGAGTGTGGAGCAACAGGAGAGGGTTTGCTGCTGCTGACAGGGGTTGTGCCCTGTGTGAGCTCACAGAGAGCAGCCCCATCCCTCCCTTCCTCCCTCCCTTTTTTTTTTTAACATATGTGCTTTCTATGGACACTTTAATCAAACTCCAGATGGGTTGTTTCGGTCAGGGGATTTGTGCTGCTCTGGAGATAAGAGTCCTTTGTGCTGGCCTAGGTAGCAAGAGTGTTTGTGATAGCAGGAGCTGATACCAGGAGATGTCCAGGTGGTCTTATTTAACAGGGAGCATTAGTGATACCACCATTGTCCAGGAAATCAGATAAAACTGGGTCCAGGTGTTACCCAACACCGTGTTTGTGTAAGGACAGTGCCAACTGCTGCCTGCACTGAGCCACAGAGCAGCACTGCAGAGGGGGGGAGTTCTTGTACAGGATCCCCATCACCCCCAAACTTCCTGGGGTGCACCACTGAAAGGGAAAAATTTAACCAGGAGTTGGACTTGGATGATCCTTGTGGGTCCCTTCCAACTCAGGATATTCCATGACCCTAATCTGAATATCAAGTGAGCTTCACACTGAATATAAGGTCACTCTGACACCTGCCTGGCCTTGGATGTCCTAAACTGAAGAATTTCACTTAAATCACACATTTTCCTCTCTGCCCTCCCACAGAGAGGTCTCTAACGAAAACATTTGGGGAGCGAGACAATTTAGAAATAAAAAGTCAGGACAATTCAATCTTCTGCCCAGGCTAATTAAAAGAGAGGAGGAATTGTACAGATGGATGAACTGGAGAGAGAGGAGACAGTTTGGGAAGTGCTAACCTGGACTGTAATTTCAGGTGACAAGGACACTTTTCAGTCCTCGTTCTGGAGTAACACAGTGACACACCAGCTCCAGGAAGGGATTTACCACAAATCATTGCTAGAAAATCACATAAAAATCAAGACAAAAGAAGTATGAGCGAGGCCTGAGCCCTTCTGCTGGTTTTACACCCAGCCATTGCCTTTTAAGAGCAGGGTGTTTAGTAGGGAACATAAATTCCAGGCTCAGAGTCGTGCAAGACTTTTGTCTAGACTCCAGCTCGTGGGCTCTGTCTCCATGGGGCCATATTTCTCAGTGTGATATTTTTCAGGACACCTCTGGTTTGTCCCAGAGATTTCAGGGATGTGGAAGCTCCCGGCTCCTCGTCCCAGTGGCAGCTGGGAGGCTGCTGGAGTTCCTTGGTAATTGTTTGTATGGATGGGAGCTAAACTTAGCTGCAGAACAGAGGGAAAAAGCCTGGTTGGAAGGAGCAGGGACTGGACTTTTGGCCCCCAGCTGTGCCAGAACAGGCTCATCACGGAGAGATCCCCAGCTGCACTTCCAGGCTGTAAATTAAACAAACAGTGTTTCCTCCAGACCAGACCACAGGGATGGCAGAGAGAACAATGTGGCCTTATTGCTGTTATTTCCTTTGGTTTCAATCTCTGTCCTCTGCCCCCACCTCCTCCCCAGACCCGTGGTGCCCACTTTACCCGATTTGCCATTTATTACACTGCTTTAAAGAGAGGCAGGGGGAAAAAGGCTCAGTGCAAATTATATTTTGAGCTGTTGTGCTTTGCCTCTTTGGTGGATAATAAATCTCTCTGGCAATGCTCCTCTGTATAGGATTTGTCATTAAATGCAATTAAACAAACCCTGCAGGTGTCCATGATCAGGCCTGCAGCAGCCCATTCACAACTGCAATGTTATTATCAGCCTGACAACAAAACACCAGATATTTCCTGAGCTCCTCTGATCGATGAGCTCGCCTGACTTGGAACTGGGAGGGAGGAGGAAAAGGGGCTTCAGAGCGCTTCAAATGCTCTTTAGACTTATTGATGGAAAAGTCAAAAAGCTGCTCGGCAATCAGAGGGAAGGTGGAGAGAGGGAAAGGCAGAGGGACGGGAGGGCTGAGAGGGAAAAATGAGAGAGGAGTGCTTGGGAGTAAAAAGGTAGAAATGAGGCAAGATATCACATGGTACCCACCTGCCCAATGAGTTGGCTAATGCACAAGATTAGGATTTAGGAGGCAAGGAGGGTATTTTAGGGATGATTCTTTGGCAGTTGGGCTTTTAGTGTCAAGTGAGTCATGCAGGCTCCCTCTGCAGTCAGCACAAATATTCCTCTCATCCTAAGGCAGGACTGGCAGGGTGACCTGTTGTCCAGGGGTGTTTGCCAGTCTTCATAAATTGTAGCCAAATGGTTGGATCAGACACCCAACTAATTGTAAATCCCACCTGGAACAGCCAAAGGAATTGGCTTTTTCAAGGCCAGGCTGGACGGGGCTTGGAGCAACCTGGTCTAGTGGGAGGTGTCCCTGCCCATGGCAGGGGGGGTGGAATGAAAGGAGCTTTAAGGTCCTTTCCAAGCCAAACCATCCTGGGATTCTGGGATTCTCTGAGTGTGTGTGCCCCTCTCCATCTCCGTTCACACTGAGGCATGTCCTGGCACAGCCTTGGGAAGCGCACGCTCCAGAGGTGCTGCTGACAGGATTTGTCCAGAGCAGATGCAACAACATTCACACCTGAATTGTTGTGTGCCCTGACAATCAGGAACAGGCAGAAAGCTCCTGTGGTTTCTGTCAGCCATCCCAGGCAGCCTGTGGAGTGTGAAGGTCAGGGACTCACAGGGGACCGGCTGCTGCCGAATCCAGTGAGAGAGAAAAATTTGCCAACACCAGTCAAATTCTTCTGCCTGACTCGTTTGCTCAGCTCAGCCTCGGGGTGCTCTTGGGATGAACCTCATTCCTCCCCTGCTCCCACCCCAGGAATCCTGGTTTAGCCCAGCTGGCTGCTGGGGGACACATGGAATTGCAGTGACAAGGACAATTCTTTTATTACTGTTCTGGTGCCACCAAAACCAAGGGATTTGGGGGGTGGATAAAGGGGTTAAATGAGTGGGTGTCTGTAGTGCACATGTAAAGTGTGAGGGGTGATTGTTCTACCAAAAAAACCCTATGGAGGGGTCTTTGATTAAGATTTTATAGCCTCATCTGTAGGACAAACAGCACAGGGCCCTGTTTGCTGCCATCCAAGATCACACTGAGATTGTGGCAGGAGCCAGGAATTCTGTGATCAATCCATGGGTCTCAGGATAACCATTTCCCTGGACACTGCACCTAGATCACTCTGCACTGCTGGTCTCTGGCTCCCTGATTCCAGGGCAGTCCAGATTCCACTCTGTATTCCTGCTTCACCTGCTGGGTTGTGCCGTTAGCAAACCAAAGGGTGATGATCTGGTGGCCCCAGTCAGCACTGGTGGGTTGAAGATGCCAGAAGGGCTCTGTCCCTGTGGTACCACAGAATTTGGCCACACTTTGCCTGCAAAGTGTCAGTTCACTGGCCACAGCAGTGAGGGTGGTCCTTGGGTCAGTGGGGGTCTGCAAGAGTATGGAAAAATCCACAGCTACCAGTGCTGCTTATCATGGGATCCCAGAATGGGTTGGGTTGGGAGACAACTTAGAGATCATCCAGTGCCACCCCCTGCCATGGGCAGGGACACCTTCCACTAGCCCAGGTTACTCCAACCTGGCCTTGGACACTTCCAGGGATGGGGCAGCCACAGCTTCTCTGGGCAACCTGTGCCAGGGCCTCCCCACCCTCACAGCCAAGAATTCCTTCCCAGTATCCCACCTAACCCTGCCCTCTGGCAGTGGGAAGCCATTCCCCCTTGTCCTGTCCCTCCAGGCCTTTGTAAAAATCCACAAACAAAAATTTATGAATAAATCCATTTTGCTTGGCTTCACCTGCAGACCTTGGGGCTGTCTGAGGTGACACTGGCTCAGAACATTTGGGAGCCACAGATATAGGAATCCCAGCAGGTGTGGAACGTGGCATTGCCCCACTCCAGCCCCTTCCACCTCCAGAAATCCAGAAACAGCTCTGATTCCCTGCCCTGGCTGCTGTAGGGTTTGCAGTGGGGGCTGAGGCTGTCACAGAGGGCTGTGCTCTCTCCCAGGGCAGAGGGACAAGCGCTGGCACATCCCTGTGCCAGGAGCTGGGGGGCTGCTAATGAGCATCCCTGGGATGGGTCTGCAGCCACTGGTGTGAATGAGCTGGGGCTGCTCTGAGTCCTCAAGGACTTTGGTGGAACTCTGCTGATTTACACCACGAGAGCTGGGGCTGGCAGGGAAAACCCCCCGGAGTTTCCATCAGCGGGTGTGAGAAAGGGGAGGGAGCCTGGTGAGAGCTGAGGGGGCACAGGGAGCAAATCAAGGGCAGGATGGAAATGCACATCGGCTTGGATTGACTTCAACAAACCAACAAACACTTTTTTTTTTCCATCCCTTCTTTCCACCTCCCTTCCTCCCCACCTCCAGCAGCTCCTCTCCCCGTGCTGCTCATCTCCCTTTGTGCACCTCTTACCCGCACTCTCCTCTCTAAACAGGTGCAGTTGCCACTCAATAGACTTTAATTACCACTTCAAGGGCTCTCACCGGGGTCTGCGGGAGGGTGGAGATGAATTTTCCCGAGGATTGTGTGTGTCTGAGTTCTCTTCAGTCAGATGGCAATATTGCTGTCAGCCTGGATCCTTAGAGAGATCTGCTCTTCGTGTTCTCTCTGCTCGTGTTAACAAAAAGAGAAACTGCTGCTGAAGTTACAAAAAAAACACCCAGCCATTAGCTGGATTAATTAGCAGGACAGCAAATGGGGCTGGAGAAAAATATTGTAGGAAATTTAAAACCCAGGGGTCTCGGCTGGGCTCCTAAACCCTTATTTCTGCTTGCAAATCAAGAAGTGGAGAGCTCAGCATCTCCCAAGATTTCTGTGGGAGACTGGGCTCTGAAAATACAAGTTGTTTTTAACCACTATACCTTCTTTTTTGCTTTGTGCTCTTCCCATCACGGCTCAGCAGAGAGACACGCTGTTAATGCATCCTGCTGGGGCCCTGGGGATTGCTCTGTCAGTCCACTCCTGGCTTCAGCACAGCTTGCCTGTGATGGAGGAATTATTCCCAGTGTTTAACTGGTAACATAGCATAATTTTTATTATGAAGATCCTCTTCAAAAGGCTAATCCTGGAGAATGCAGAGCAGCTGATATCTGTTGGAGCTGCTTGGAATTGTTTGCCCGGGATGTGAGTGTGCACTCGTGGAGATGCACACAGAAATTTAGATACATGCAGAGAGGAGCTGGGAATATAACAGGATCTTTTGGGACAGGGAAAAATCTCCAAATATTTTTAAAAAATCATTTCTTTTGCTCGACATTAACATTTCTAATTTTTCCACGAAACGAAACGCAGGAAGGAGTTCTGTTTTATAGCAAATTAAGCGGCGTTTTCTCCTGCCAAAATTAAGTTTGTTTCCCCTCAACAAGCAATTCAGCAAATTGGGCAAACGCTGTTGGCAAATCTGCATTTTTGCAGATGTGTTTTGCATTTTGCCCAGCCCCAGAACAGCTGGGCACGTGCAACATCTGTCTGGCTCCTGCAGAGCCAAGGGCAGCACAGTGTGGGCCCTGGGATAGTCAGGGCTGAGCTCCTCTGCATCCCTGCACTGAGCCAGCTGCTATTCCTGGGTTAGTGTCCAGGCTCCTCTCATCCCTCAGGCATTATCCCAAGTGTTGAGCCCCAAAAAGTGGTTGAGGGTCTCACCTGCAGCCCTGTCTCTGCTCCCGAGTGCCGCTCGTGTCCCTCCGGCACCGCTCGCGCTCTGTCTGCCCCGGGGCTTTTTTGGCACCTGCAGCACAAAGACAGAAGGGATAAAGGAAGAAAGGATGGATGGACAACACTGATGGAATGGTTCATGCTTGGACTCAATGAGCTTAGAGATCTTTTCCAACCCTAATGAATATACAAGATGCTGGGGAAGGAGCAGAGTGACCCTAAAGGCACGTCAGCCCTAAGACATCCTTCATCTCTGCTCGTGTTCTGTCCCTCCTTCCTTGGGCTCTGGGTGCAGCTGTGACCCCAAAAATGAGGAGCTGGATGGCACAGGGATTGGGATGGGAAAAGGAAGAGGCACAGTGATGTGCCCACAAAGGACTTCTCCCTGTGTTTGGAACTCTTTCTCTGGGCTTTCTCCTCTCTCTGAATCCTTCCCCTCTTCTTCCTGTACTTATCCCAGTCCCTTCCTCTCCTACTCCTGCCCTCCCCAGCCCTCCTGACATTCCCATTCTCATTTCTCAGGTCCTCTCCATCTCCTCCTCATGTAACTCATTCTTTCAGCTTCCAAGATTTAAAATCCTTCTGTCTCCATCACCTCTTCCTTCCCCCTTCCCTCCCTTGTGCATTTTGCTTTCCAGGCCCATCTACCACATGTTCTCCTGCCCTTTCTGTGGGCCTGGGGTGAACATTGATCACAGCCATCTCAAGCCCATCTCTCCCTTTTCCCAAAGAGCCGATGAAAATGTCACCCATGAGATAATAATCATGTTGCTCACATCCCTTAATTGCTCTCAAAGTACACGTTGAGGCTTCAGAGCCTCTTTGAAAGGCAGGTTCTGGCCTTTGGCACATTATTGACAGGCTGTTGATAGGCCCCTTTGTTGAGGAGCAATTTTGTCCCTTTTCCTGTACAATTTTTTGGTTTTTTTAAAGACAGCCCTTTCAGAGAGAGTAGATTTTTAAAATAGAGCCGAGCTTTGAATGAACAGGCATCAGAGTTATTCCTGAGGAGTGGTGGCACATGTGGGAGATGAGAGCTACCAGAACACTTCATGCAGGACAAGAAATCAAACTGTGATGCCTGATAGCTTCATCCTTGTTGCTTTTTAGTCCTTCCCCTCTTGGACCCGCTAATAAGATGTTTTTTTGCAGTGTGTTACTAATTAGACATCTTGTGTGTTCCAGTGCCTGGTAAACAATAAGAGAAAGTTGACACTTGAGCTGTGCAGCAACTCATTTGTATCAATTAATGATAATTCTTTGGGGTTTTTAGCACCTGCTGATTTGAGTGGACTGAGATCTTCTTGTCACAGCAGCCCTTTGTGGTCTCAAAAGCTTTGCAGCTCTGGAGGAGTGTGAGCAGAACCAGCCCGGCTGCTCTGCCACCACTGGCGTGGGCAGGGACCCTCCCTCAGCAGTGGCAGGAACCTGAGCAATTCCCCCCTCAGCTGCCATTCCCAGAGGCTTTAAATCCACCCCTTTCCCAGGGATGTCTTTTACAATGCCCCTCATGGGTGCTGCGGGTGCATCTCGAGGTGACCCCACCACAGCTCCGTCCACGTACGACAGCTCCCGGCACAACCCTGAGCCAAACCTCCAGGCTCTGCTCGACTCACCCCCAACCCAGAGAGAAATTCAATTCTTTCCTCTCTGAAACAATGTCCCTTGGAATGATTTTGCCCTTAATGAGCCCCGACTGCGCCGCTGTGCTCCGGAGCCACTGGCGTGCATGTTAACAAGGAGCTCTCTCCGTGTGGAGGAGCCGAGCTGGCCGGCCCTGTAATGGGAGTCTGTTCAGCATCCTAAGCCCTGCATTAGGCTGTGCCTGTAGGAACCCTGGGATGTTCCACGGAGGCTGCCTGAAGGTAATCATCTCTCCCAGCCTCCTGGCTGTCCCTCACCGAGCGCTCCGCGTGCAGCTATTCCAGGAAACGGCTCCGGAGATGAGAAAGTTTAGCCCCTGATTTATTCACCAGCAAAAGGGGGGAGGAAATGCCATTTGGTTATGGGTGAAAAGGGAAAATGCAGGGGGCTGGTTGGGATTTGGTTGTTGAACCCTGTGAGGGACTGGAAGCCCTGGAACTTCATCGTTTGGTTCGGCCAAATCATGAGCAGTGCCTGAAAAATATCATCACCTTCGAGTCCTGCTTGACTCAAGTGGTGCATCCCAGCACTTCCCATCCCAGAAACCTATTTCAGACATCACATCCACTTAAATCCACATTTTGTGTGTGTCAAACACACACATCACAGAGAGTACAACATATATAAATATATAGATAAATACATATACATTTAGATCAGTGTATGTTACACAGAACAACTGCATTCTGTCGAAAGTCAGGAATAAAAGGAGTTCTTCCAAATCCATTCCCTCATTGACAGACCAACAGAAAAACATGCCTCTCTTCTTGGAAAAAAAAAAATCAGCTAATTTATTTTTCCAAGTTGTGAACTCATTAGCTGGCAACTATTGTTCCACCCACCTTTGCAGCCCCTCAATGGGGTCACAAAAAACCTGCCCAGAGCTCCAAACACACCTTTGTCAGCGTGTACTGAGAAGTGCTAAAATAAAATGTTGTCTGAATTAGATGGGGAGGATTAGAAAGGTGATAAAAGCTAAGCCAGGAGAAAATAAGATGATAAATAGGTCTGGCAAGATAGATGGATAATCTTCCTCCCAGGCCAAACCTGACAGGATAATCACCTTTTTCTGTTCTCTGGTTCCATTTGCTCTCAGATCTTCAGAGCTTTACAGATACCACTGGATTTGGTTTTCTGGTACCCTGGAAAAGGGGAACACAATGTCCATCTTTCCAGACAAGGGGTCTGAGGTGCCTGACTTAGGAGTGGGTTTAGGTTTAAGATTAGGGTTGCAAAAATGAGCCAGACTGTTGCCTTTTGTTGGTTTGTTTCTCGGTTCTCGCTGTGCCTCGGGCAGGGCCGTTCCCTGAGGAGGAGCTGCTCAAACCAGGGCTTTTCCCAGCTCCCCTTTTCCCAGAGCCAGAGCAGGAGAAGTCCTGTCCTCTCCCAGGTGTGTCTTTGTTCCTGTCACCAGGCTGAGCTGGGAACATCCAGAGCCGGGCGATTCCCAGAGCTGCGAGGGCACAGCTCTGCTCCTGCTCCCTGCTCCTGCTGGGATCTGCATCCAGCAGTGCCCCTGGCCATGGCAGCAGGGGAAACTGTCCTCCTGTCCCCTCTGTCCCCTCAGCTTTCAGGTTATAAATTACCTCTGAGCAAATCCAAACAACACATTTGAGCTACAACTAACAAGCTCATTAAACATTCCGGGCTGTGAGGCTCTTTCAGTTCGGAGAAGACTTGTCTGAACTGGCCTTTGCTCTCCTTGCTCCAGGGAAATTCCCATTGCTCCTGCTAAATCCATGCAAGGTCTGAGCCTGCAAAGCACTGAACCCTTTTCTGCAGACAGGGACACCTTGTCTGAGGGGAGGAACTTGGGAAAGTTTTCCATCACTTCATGGCATTGGTTCCTCCACGAACGTTTGACTGGAACACAGAACGATGGAATATTTGATCAGCCAGAATTACAGACCACAACATCAATAATTTTGTGAGCTGAACTGGAAAGATTTGCACTTGTTCTTGCTGGGAATGGTGCAATTGTCTCCTCCTTTTTGAGAGAAACTCTGCTCTAATGGCTGGGTGCGTTGTCATCCTACGGGAGCAGGGACTGACTATTCCTCCTCATTTTGGAGGGCTTGAATCCATGCAATTTTCACCTGGGCTGGCTGGAATCTTGTAGGGGGACTGTTCATCATGGTTCTGGATTTTCAGAAGAAGTCAGCAATTTTGGATGCCTTATATTTGTGTTTGAGACACTTTGAAAGGGACTGATCGTGAGAGGCAGGTGCTTAGAGGGCCCTGAAAATCAGGATTAATTGGACTATGTCGTGCTGGGCACCTGAAAACTCTAAATGCTTTGGGAAAATCACAGGGGAGGAGGCTCTGTTTCTGAACATGGTTTGGGAAGACTGCACAGCCTTAAGTAACACAGGATAAAGAGAAGATCTTTGCATAACATTATGGAAACATCCTTTAATCCTCAGTGCCTGACTTTAGGTGGCATTTGATTCCTGAGCAAGTTCAGTGCTGGAGTTTGTGCAAGTGCATTTGTGTTTTCCTGCTGTTGTGTAAGTTACTGTAGGTTTGGTTTATCAGAGTTTCTGAGTAGGTCTCTAAAATAAAATAAATCAGAAGGCAAAGTTCTCCCCTTGAGTAGGACACGGAGGCTTTGCAGGCTTTCTGCACCATCACCTGCAGAGCCACGGGCTGCGCCAGGAAATATCCATTCTTTGCACTTCCTAAGCCCCTCAGCCTGAGTCCCAGAGCCAGAATCACATCCAACTCCTCCCCTCATCCATCAGCAACCATGGAAAAATCCTTGGTAGAGCCTCCCTTCCAGCTCAGAGCCAACACCTTGGTGTTGACCCTCGGCCGCTGCTCCCCCCGGAGCTGTGTCCGTTTGGAAACTCTGTTTGTAAACGAGGTGAAACTAAAAAATCCATCCTGGTTATCCCAGTTATGCCCCAGGAGGGGCACAATGGTCACTGACAGGAGTCATCTGGCCTCTGTAAACAAGGGCTCCTGGAGTCGGGGCGAGTGCAGGATGGGAAAGGCCCGATTCCTGCACGGGCAGTGAGGAGCTCTGGGATGGCTCAAGGCTCTGCTGAGTCCAACAAAAATGTGGCAATAAGGGTTTGTTCCTGTTGCAGGGTCAAACTACAGGGCTGAGCTGGTTTTGGGGCACAGGCTGGATATTTCTGGGTGCAGGAGTCAGGGCAGTGCATGTCCAGCCTGAGCTGCAGCCGGAGCTTTCAGAGCTGCTGGGAGGGCAATTCCTCTTCATCTCAGCCAGTGCTGAAGGCTCCAGATATCCTGGGAAGCCTTGGGATACTCAAACACAAAGATCAATATTGAATATTGTATTAGCTGTTCCTGAGCTTTTTTTTTTTTTTTCTTTTCTTTTCTAGTTTTGTCTCCAGGCTGAAATTTAGGAGATTTTATTACATTAATATCCCAGTACCTGTTTTAGTAAGGACACAGTTTAGAAAGACATCTCAGCATTTAAAGACAGATCATTTTAATAGGATTTACCAATTAATTTAGAACCCCACTCCTACTCATTTTCAGGTGAGGTGTGTGCTGACTTGTTTTACAAACCCCAGCACAACACTGGTTTGTTCTAAACTCACTCAATTTTAGCAAGGGGTTCAATAATGACAAACTTTGAGGCCACACACGGATCCCAACAGCCCTTGGGGGAACACCTACATCAATTTTATCACCTGCTTTCCATCACTTCTCTGCTTTGAGTCCTTTTCTGGGCCTCAGGGTGGCTCCATGGGAGGTTTATTTCTTTTGCTTTCCTGGAGGGGGTTGAATTCAGTAACTCAACAGAGACAACTCCCATTGATCCACAGTGAGAGACTATTTACAGGGGCCTGGAGTCCAGGACAAGGGGAATGGCTTCAGACTGAAAGAGGGGAAATTTAGATGGGATATTGGGAAGGAATTCTTGGCTGTGAGGGTGAGGAGGGACTGGGATGGAATTCCCAGGGAAGCTGTGGCTGCCCCATCCCTGGGAGTGTCCCAGGCCAGGTTGGAGCAACCTGGGATAGTGGGAAGTGTCCCTTGACAGGGGATGGAATGGGATGAGCTCTAAGGTCCTTCCAACCCAAACCATTCTGGGATTTGGGCAAGCAGAGAAGCCAAATTCATGGCTCAGAGTCCCTCAGCTCCTGTTTTGGCCCTGAACAAGCCCCTGAAGCAGGAGTGTGGGGCAGAACAAGTCTCTGCCTGAGGCAGAACGACCTCGCCGTGTCCATCCCAGCTCAAAAGCTGCCGCAGATCTGGCCTCCAAAATCCACTCTCCTTTTCCTGCTGAGATTCCCAAGCACCTCCCAGTCTCCCAGCTACTCCCAGATGCCACGATTGCAGCAGAGTGGCAGCGACACACAGACAAATATTTGTGCAAGGCACACAGAGCCTGGAGGCTGGAACACTGTCTGTCTGCGGGGAGCAGGAGGAGGGGAGGAGGATCCTGGGGTTATTTCTGTTTGATTTGAACTAACAAAAATCTACAGGGTGTTTATTTCCTGCAAAACTTCCAACAGGTGACGTGGGACCAGCCTGCCAGACTGATTTCCAGTTTAGTCGTTTTGCTGAGTACTTAAAGGGTCAGGAATTAAACTGAATTTAGATCAGACCTTACCCCGAATCCCCTGTTCTTCAGAGACCTCTGTCAGGGACAGGGTTGACTCCACCTATGGCATCTACAGAAAAGGGCCAGTGAAAAATAAAGAAGTGACAAAATATGCCCTGAACAAATGGAAATGTAACTTTGATTAAGCAATGCTCTGAACAACACCAAATTTAGTTAGCTTCGAGGATATGATATCATCTGCCCTCCTATTCTTTATATTAAATATGAAATTTGATTAGGAGATTTCCCAGAATGAGGAATAAACTCATAAAAGCAGGAATAGGTATTTGGTGCAATATAATTTTCTGGCTTCTTCTGTTTGGGAGCAAAAAACGTGATTTCCCCCCCCCCTTATTTTACAGCTGAACTTCAAAGGGAAAAATGCCTGATATTGGTGCTGGAAGAGACAAGGCACTGCCCAGACTGACCCTCAGATTTAGGACAGATCAGAGTCACTGTGCACAGAGAACTGATGGGAGATGTTAAAGAGATTTACAGAGAGATAACAAAGATATCTCTCCACTCAAATTCCATAGGGAAGGGTTTCCACTCCATAGTTTTTTTCAATGTCTATAATATGTCTTTGAAGGCCGTGTGGATATTCAAGCCCTTAAAGGAAATAACTCTCTTTTCAAATGTTTTTCTTCTTTTTTTTTTTCCCTAAATATTTAATTCTGAAACAGCAAATAGGAGTTTCCTTAAAATGGAGAACAGCTTGTTTCCATTTCCTCTCAGAGGCCAACATTACTCAGGAAAAATCCAGGTGTAAAGACAGGAGCCGGGGCCAGGCTGAGCCTGGATTAAATCACCTTGTTGAGCCTCTGCTCAGCCAAGTGTTTAAACACACGTTTAGCAGGGCTGGGGGAGAATTTCCAGTGAACAGGGATTCGTTTAGTGAACCTCAGCTTCCAAAAATGGAGATAAAACAAATGCAGCAAATCCCTTCAGCTGACAATAGCTCTGTGAAATGCTCCATTTCCAAAGTGCTCAAACACTTCAACATTTTAGCTTTTCTATTTTCTATATTAGATCCTTGGTTTAATAATCCAAAGAGGAAAAAATATTTTATTTCAGCTTGAGACAGAGTTGAATACTTTGTTATTTTAATTTTGGCAAAATAAAATAAAATTTAAAAAATCAAAAAAACACCCAAACCAAGCAAACAAAACACTTTGTTTAATTTGATCCCGCTTGATTTTTAATTTTTTTTTTTTTTGAGAAGCGCATTTTGGGGAAAAAATCTGATTTAGCCATTGAGCACTTTAATATAACACAATCTGTCAACAGACCCAAAGTGCACCACCACATCAAGACAAATTTTGAGTACTCAGAGAGCACCAATTATGGAGGAAAAATATTTTCAAATATCTGTTCACTGAAGCATTGGCTCCCCAAAGCACCTTGGTGAAATATCCTGTTTCTCCTACAAACTAGGGAATATTAAGAACAACTTTACACACGAACCACCAGTCAGCCACACTTTCAAAACAAGGATTTTGGGGTTTTCCAGCACAAAGCTTTGATGTCGAGCAGGTGCAGGTCACATTTGGATTCGTACAATCATTCCTGGCTTTCCAAGTGATTTTATTCCCTGCCCTCCCCCGGGCTGTGAGTGTGTCCCACCTGGGCAGGGATGTTTGGAAAAGGCGTCTGCGTCTGTCCCAGTCCATCCCACCCATCCCAATGTCCCACCTCGGCCAGCCCTTGGCTCTTGGCCGGACCCCAAAACTGCCTCCCGAGTGCTCGGGGTGATCTCCCGACCCCCGTGTGTCCCTGCCCGGGAAAAGGACCGGGACACGACCCGGGCATCCCTGCCCCGGCACCGGGCACCCGCGGGCAGCGGGCCGAGCTCTGCCGCTCCTTTTTACCGCTCTCCTGCCTTCCCTCTCCCGCAGGGACCCCTCCGGGGCTGGACTCACCTCCCTGGCCCGGGAACAGTCCAGCGTCGCCTCGGGGACCTGCCGTTGATCTCCGGGGAGGGTCCGGGCGGGTGCCGGTGCCCGGTGCCCGGTCAGGGATGCCCGGGTCATGTCCCGGTCCAGCCCTGCCCCGGAGGCGCCGCCGGGCGCTGTCCCTGGTGCTGATGGCGGCATCCTGCCGGGATCCCTCCGGGATACGGCCAGGAACCCCCTCGGCCCCAGAGCCAGGGCCGGGGGAGGCCGGACCCGTCCCCCGAGCATCCCCCGAGCATCCCCCGAGCATCCCCCGCGGTCCCGGCGCCCGAGGAGCCGGCGGCAGAGGCGGGCCGGGCTCCACAGGTGCCCCCGCGGGGCTCACCTGGCGCTGGGTCACCTGCGCGGCGGAGGGGCCGGGGAAGCTGCCCTGCCTCTGCCTCGGGGCTTTTATGGGGCCGCCGGGGGGGCGGCGGGAGGAGCGGCCGGGCGGGGACTGTCGGGCTCGGCCAACGGGAGCGGCTGTCGGGGCAGCTGCGGCAGCATTACATCATGGACCCGCCCGCGCTCCGCTCCGAGAGCCTCTGCCGGCGGCTCGGCAGCGAGGGGGGACAGCAACAGGTCTGTCCGGGGGGCACCGAGCCCCTGGAAACGGGGCAGCGCACGGGAAGGGCGCTCGGAGCTCTGTCCGGGAGGGCCACGGGCTGGGAGGGGGGAAAGCCCTCCGGGAGAACCCACCCGGCTCGGCCCGTGCTCCGCTCGGAGCGAGGAGGGGATGCTTCCTGGGGGTCAGTGGCTCCGCGTTTCCCAGGATCAAACCCCCCCGGCCCGTTCTTTCCACCGCTGGGGCTCCTTTCCCTCGGCCTGGCGGGCTCTGATTTCCCAGTCCAGTGGACAAGCCGAGCTTCACCCCAAATTCCCAGCCTTTTCCATCCTGGTTTTGCAGCGTGCACAAACCCCAACCCTCCGTTTCTTCCCGGAGGCACCGAGCTGACAGGCAGCCCTGAGCTGAGGACCTGGAATCCGTGTGGAGCTCTCCCATTCCCAGAGCAAGGAGGTCAGACAGCTCGAGAGCACAGCACTCCCCAGGGAAAACAAATTTAGTCCCAAACCCCCTCCTCAGTTTGGATGGGTTTGTGTTGTGCCTCTTAGATGGCAAACACAGAGGCTGCAGACATCAGTTCTTCAAGACTGCCCTAAATTATCCTAAATGATCAGTTGGGGTTAAGCTTTGTCTCCTGACATATCCTGTGCATGAGATGTTGTCATCTGATACCAAAGGAAAAGTAATAATTGTTTGCAGCATTAATTAGACAGAAATCAAAATGGTCCAGAGTTAAAGGCTCGGTGTGGGTAATACTTGAGACCCACATTCAGGTCTGATTTGGGATGGGTCTTCTGCAGGAAAATATGAGGCTCCAAAGCCCTGTGAGTAAGAGCAGATGACCTGAAGGAGCCTATTTTCAAGTGGCACTGGCTGCTATTCAAATTACAGCACAATTAGAACAAAACCAGGTGCTCTGTTTCCAACTCTTTTTGTTCGTTTGTTTTCCATGCCAATCATGGATGATGGGCCAAATCCTTGGCCTGGCTCCCAGCAGCCCAGAACCTGTTGCTGTTGCCTGAGGTAGAAGCTGGGTTTGAGCAGAATGTGCCCGTGTGTGACACAAATCAGTGACAGCCCCTGAAGGAGGGGATGGCCCTGGCAGCACCCGCTGACCTTGTGCTGCATTAGTCACAGCACAGAGAATGTGGGCTGGTGCTCAGGTAAAAGGAGATGTCACAGCCCTGTTAGTGCCTGGCCTTGGACGTGCCTCTGGGAGGGATTTTCATTCAGGAGCCAAACCTGGAAGCTGTTGCTCTTGGCTGTGTCCTGGCAAAGCAGGAGTTTGGGGGAAACGCAAAGCTGAAGCTGTAAAACAGCATCTTGTGGGAAATGCTGAGGGTGCCCAAGTCCCTCCACAATGCACCTTAAAGGACAGTGAGACTTGGGGACATAATTCCCTTAGAAGATCCCACTAGAGAGGAAAGCCAAAGTGAGGGAAAGGCAGCAGTCAGTGCTCCTGGCTGTTATTACCCCAGCTGGGTCCCTTCATCCTTAGTTTTCCCTTTCCCTCGTGTGCTCACCAGGACTCTCCCAGTTTGCCCTCAGTTCAGTGTTAGTGTGGCCCCTGGTCCAGGGCCTTTCAACCTCTGAAACCCAAGTCAGATGGAGAAAGGCCCTGCTGAGGTTAAAGAAATGGGCCACAAGGGATGATGGAGAATAAACCCTCCAGCTGTGTATCATAGAATATAAAATCAGGGGATGGTTTCATTTGGAAGGGACATTAAAGCCCATCCAGTGCCACCCCCTGCCATGGGCAGGGACACCTTCCACTAGCCCAGGTTGCTCCAACCTGGCCTTGGACACTTCCAGGCATAGGGTAGGTGCCCACAACTTCTCTGGGCAACCTGTGCCAGGGCCTCACCACCCTCACAGGAAGAATTTCATCTCAATATCCCATCTCTCCCTGCCCTCTGGCAGTGGGAAGCCATTCCCCCTCTCCTGTCCCCCCAGAGTCCCTCTCCAGCTCTCTTGGAGCCCCTTTAGGCCATGGAAGGGGCTCTAAGGTCTCCCTGGAGCCTTCCCTTCTCCAGGTGAACCCCCCCAGCTCTCCCAGTTCCAATTCTCTGTCTCTACAAAGAACAACCATTTTACAGCAGTTCACAAGGGATGAGACTCATGCAGGCCCTGCTGTTCTCCTGAGAGCTGCAGCCTCTTCTCTGAGGGCTGTTGGGCAGCACCTTGGACTCAAGTCCTCTCTGTGCCATCTGGGAAAAGTCATTTTGGCCAGCAAGTTCAGCTGAGATTTCAGAAACGTGATTTTCAGAGGGATCCAAGTCGTGAACATGAGCTTTGCCCATCCTGCCCAAAGTGTCTCAAGCCTGAGCTACTCATTCCAAAGATGCATTTGAAATATTGGGCTTATTGCGAGTAGAGACCTGAAAACTCTTTGTGTCCACAGCTTTCCCACCTCCGGGGACTCCTCTGCCTCACTCATTTGCATCCGAGGTTTTTTCAGTGGAAGGGGGGATCAGACAAGTTTCTTTTCACGGAGGAAGTCTGGCATGAACTTAGAATCCACAAGAGGAAAGGTCACCGTTTGATCGAATCACTCCGAGTTGTTTTCCACCCCCTACTCGGAGCAGCCCTCCGGGCTCGGTAATTAGCAACGGAGCGAAGGGGGAGCGCGCTGGACTTTGGCCCCATCTGACCTGATTGGTACAACACGGCTGATTAATGCTCCTGGTCACATGGCAGCTGCCAGCGACTTGTTGCTGGGCATCCAGAGGTTTCCAAGGGAACCGCTCCTTCTCCTGCCGATGCTCCTCGACGAGTGCGGGAGAACCGCGCTTCGGCTCCGAGGGCCGGGCGGGAGGGAAGGCGCGCGGAGGAACACCCAAAAAATAGGAGCACCCGCGTGGAATTTAGGGACGGAGCGGCTCGGGCAGATCCTGTGGGATCGCTGAGCCGCGGGCTCAGCCCTCCCTGTGCAGCCTCTCCCGTAGCTCCACACCTATCCCAGCCCACGCTCGTGCACAATCCCACCCCCCGCATCCAACCCCAAACCGCATCCCAAAGAAAACAACAGCTCCGTGCGAGCGCAGACACGCTCCCGACCCCCGGGGATTCTCCTCCTCGCCGAGGAACCTGAGCACACGCGTTTGAGACCCCTTTGCTGAGGTGTGTTTAAAACTCTCTTTTAATCGCAAAGACCTCGCTCCAGTCCCCCGGGGAGCTGTGTTCCCGGATCCAGCCTCCCTCCCTGGACTGGCCCGGGGCTCCCGCGCAGACCAATCTCCTGTCCCTGCCCCAAAATCCCTCTCCCTGCACGCGCAGCTGGAGCGCTGCCCACACGCGGGCGCGGCGGCTTCCACACACCCCCGGCAGCTCCTCACACCTCCCTCCACGCGTCCTTCCCCCTGCAGGCATCTCCCTCTGGGCACTGCACGCTCACACCCCTCCTGCCCGCGATTCCTGCTGGTTTGCACACAGACCACAGAGTCAGAGACGTGTTCGAGTTGGAAAAAGCTCTCTAAGACCATTGATCGCTGCCAAAATCCACCTATAAACCTTCTTCCAGTGCAAAGGGAAACTGAGGCACGGGCAGCCCCTGCAAAGCTCCCTGCAGTGCAAACACTCCAAACCACAGCTCTGAACGTGGCAGGAGGTGGCTCCAGGACAGAGAATCACAGGATGCTTTGGGTTGGAAGGGACCTTAAAGATCATCCTGCTCCAACCCCCCTGCCATGGGCAGGAACATCTTTAACTAGACCAGGTTCCTCAAAGCCCCATCCAACCTGCCCTCAAGTGTTTCCAGGGTTGGGGCATCTACCACCTCTCTGGAAAACCTTTGCCAGTGATTCCCCATCCTCACCTTGAAATATTTCTTCCTTGTGTGCACCCTGACGTGAGGCTGCCAGCACCACCCACGGTGGTGTCACTCGGGTGGGTACCACCCTTCCTGGCTTTGGAGAAAGCAGCCTGAGCACAGGCACTGCTTGTCTACAGACAAGCAGAGACAGCAGAGCGTCCTGCCAAAGGCAGGGCCAAGTGCCACCCTTGTTTCTGGGCACACACACAGTCCCACTTCCATTCCCACTCCCCCTGAGCACACAGCCAGTGCTGCACCTCTCCCCTCCCTCGCTGTGCCTGCACCCAGGGATGGACATCCCCTGTCCACCAGCACCCCGACACCCCCAGCAGGGACTGGGGCTGGGGTGCAGCCCCTCATCCCTTCTCCCCTTCCTTCCAGGCTGCCTCAGATGTGCTGTACCCAGTGCCCAGCCAGCAGCTCTTGGCAGGAAAAACCAATTCCCTGAACCAGCGAACACAGTTGGCTCGGCAGCAGCTCTGCTCTGCAACACCCGCCTTCCAAACACTCCAGCAACCCTACACCAGCAGGTCATTCCTCTTTTCCCTTTCCCTGTGCTGGAGGAAGATGGGGAGGGTGTGTGTGTGCACTGTCTGCTCCCTCAGCACCTTCCCAAGCTCGTTAATGCTGCTCTGGTTTGGTTGGTCATGGGATAAGTGTCAGCCACAACGAGAGATTGTCAGTGCTGTGCCAGGAGACCTTCCCTTCCCATCCCTCACACACCTGAGCCTGAAGTCAGCTCCATGCCACCGACCTTTGTAGAGCAACACTGATTTATCCCCTCTGACACAAGTGTTGGCATTGCTGAAGGACACAAATACCCAGGGAAACATGGCTCAAACATTTCCTCACACTCCTTACCTCCCAAAGTCTCGCTCTTTTTTTCCCAGCCTTGCTAACTCTTTGGATCAAACTGCTGTCAGGAGATGCTTTTCCACTATCTTTTATCTAATCTTCCAGACTCCAGCCTGTGCCCGCAGGAATAAAAGGTGTGAGTGGCTTTATGTGCCAAACTGGATTTAGAAT